CCCCCAAAAACAATATATCCCATTTCTTCCATAAAAATTATAACCCTTAAAACAATTGCTGCATCCCTTAAATAAGGTAAACAATTACCTCCCCCAGCAACCTACCTCTCCTCTTTAACCCCCTCTCTCTTCACTTAGATAAAACTCCTCTCTTTTTCTCTCCCTCTTTACCCCATTCTCTCACACGCACACACACACGGCCCCCAGGTTATGCTGGCCACTGTGCAAACCCATAGCCCATATATGATTACATGGTACTATTTACCTTGGGGATGTCGTTTGTTTCCTACCGGGGTAATAATAATGATGATGATGATGATGATGATGATGATTATTATTATTATCGCTGTGCCTTCCTTTCACTGTATCCTGATTCAACTTTTTAGGGGATCACCTGAAGAATCTACACCCCAGTTTATTTCACCTATAGATTAACCACCCTAACACTAATCTAACCTAACCACCTAAAGCGTCACTAGTTAAGAAGCCCACCGGCAACAGCACTAACCAAACATCACATTCGAACGCGTGACTACTGGACACCGGACAAGAACATCTACATTAACATAAGTCCCCTAAAAATAATATAATCTATTCACAGTCTTTATATAAATATGTAAAAAATATATAATCTATTTACATTCAATGACTGGGGAGGATGTTCTGATTTCGCAATGCACTAATGAGCACACTGTAGTGCCCACAAATATATAGTGTTCGCCATGTGTTCGGATTCGCTGCCGTGACTCTGGCTACGGCTTATTAGATTTTGTTTCCTTCAGTAATTAAATATATTGAGCCAATGCGAATTTTAGTGATGAGGGTTTTGTACGGAATTATTTAGCCATCTGTATTTATCTATCCATTCATCCATGTGCCTGTCTATCTATTAAACTAACCATCTATTTATTTTTCTATCTATCTATCTATTTGTCCATCTATCTCTCCACCAAACTAACCATCTAACCACTTATCTATCCATCTATTTTACTATACCTTATGTACCAGCCAGCAGTGTCCAGGGTAGGTAGGGGGTCACCACAGGTCGCCATGTTGTCACCACCGCGGTTTCTGGGTTTATTTCGCGTGGTAACACTCGTGGTTTAAGGTCCAAGTTAACACTGCTGCTACATCACTATAGGTTTGTTTGGTTTAACTGTATATACTGTATGTACCGGTATTAACACTTTTGGTTTAACTGTATATATTTACTGGTCTAAACACTTTTGGTTTAACTGTATATATTTACTGGTCTAAACACTTTTGGTTTAACAGTATATACACAGGTTTTAACACTTCCGGTTTAACTGTATATTTACCGGTTTTAACACTGTTTTAAAGGTAAATTAAACATTTGGCTTATCAGTTAAGTTAATACCGGCTGTTTTATTACACAAGTGGTTTAACTTTCTACCAACAGTTAACACATCTGGGTTTAACCTACTAGCAGTTTCCACCACTAGTTAACGCTCTTCACTCGACGCACACGTTCACAACACTACTTAAGAACTGCTAGTTGTAAATTAACCCCCAAGAGCACACTTGTACAGCTTCCCAGAGTGACGTCATATTTCAACCCCTACTCCACCAATCAGCTGTTTAGTACACTACTCCACCAATCAGCTGTTTAGTACACTACTCCACGATCAGCTGTTTAGTACACTACTCCACCAATCAGCTGTTTAGTACACTACTCCACGATCAGCTGTTTAGTACACTACACAATCAGCTGTTCAGTACACTACTCCACCAATCAGCTGTTTCGTACACTACCCCACAATCAGCTGTTTAGTGCACTACTCCACCGATCAGCTGTTTAGTACACTACTCCACGAATGAGCTGACTGGATGCTGTTTAGTGCACTACTCCACCGATCAGCTGTTTAGTACACTACTCCACGAATGAGCTGACTGGATGGCGTTACATACATACAGACTACCTGACTTGTAAACACATCCTTCCTCAACACTTAACACAAGCCAGATAACTAGCTACCGACCTCACAACACAAACACGTTGAAATATAACACACAAAAATAATAATAATTTTTTTTTTAAGAATATCACAAGATGGGAGTAGCTCGCGGTAGTGTGTAGGAGTGTGTGGGAGGCTAGCAAGGCATCAAGCCCGGGTATATGGTAATGAAAATATGTGCACATCATCGAAGTATTAACCGATCAAGGAATGAGTTTGCTTATACGACGACTTGCTACAACACTTGCCAGTTAACCTCTGTGCTGGTAAACAGGAGTAGGTTTGTACCCCACGGTCTACTATCTATAACTATCTCACTTCCTGTATTCCAGATAAGTATGAAAGATTAATCATGTGCTTACGTCAACCTCCGCCCCCTATCTCACACGTACGAATGTAATATAACACAGTTTCCTTGAATGGCAACACCTTTCTGATGCTGTCTCACACATACACACCAGGGCGACATATCATCTCCTTGGACTCCTGGCCATCACGTTATTCTACACTAAGGCAGCAGATCATGACATATTTATAGAATCAGTGATGGTCTCAGGATGTTATAAATTGTCACCATACAGAAAGGAATTTATTCACTTCAATTGAGGATTGTTTTAAGGTACATGTTTCTAAGTCTATCATCCTTTCAAACCTAACCTACTCTAAACTAATCTAACCATGAGGTGTAAAACAGTGCCAAGGTGTGTACAACAATGTCATGGGGTGTACAACAATATCATGGGATGTACAAGTGTCATAAGGGTGTACAACAGTTCCATAGGGGTGCACTATCATGAACAAAAGTTCGCTCCCTCCGAAAGTGAAGCAGTATCGACCCCAAATGAGATAAAACAGCACACCCACACCAGATGACAGTCAGCATAAGTCAGTTCGGAGACTCATTCCCATGACTCAGTTTCACCACAGGGAGTGAACGTTTGTCCACGATAGTACAAGTGTCATGAAGGTGTACACTGTGAGATCTACCAATACATGTACTGGAGGGCAACAAGGACTCATAGTGTTCTGTGATATGACTAAAGACCTAAAGAATAATGCAGATAAATGCGACACAATAAGTTGAGAAATATAAGCATATACAGAGGGTAATTTAATATCATACAACAGCAACAAACACCTCTCATCATGTCCCCAAAAAGTGAGAATGGGTTTCCCTCTCATAATCACAGACATCATGAAGATAATTTTCTGGTGAAATATTGGTCACACTGCTGTCATGGAGCAAATGATGGGGTACTGTATTGCCTACTGTGAACCACTAAGGTCTTCATGTCAGGATACTCAAAATTTTCTTGAATAATGTAGATTGTTTCACAAACCATGTATACTCGTACAACCAGGTGATGACATACAGTACATCTTAATCAACAGTTTCAATTTTACATAAAAAGCAATGTGATTAACCTGCAAATATTATGCCAAAATTTACTGAAGCAAAAGGTAATTTTATTTTTTTGTAACCATGACTTACCTTGTGTTAAAACAATTCATTTTGTTTCACTTATACTCAATCAAGGCACAGTACTGTTATTCATCATGTGCTAGGAGACCAAACCTAACCAAATTTAGTCTTAAAAGGCAATGGTAGTTCTGTACTAAGTAAGAAAACTTGGGTTCAGAGATAAGTAAGTAATGATGCAATTTGTAATTGTCTGTTGCTACTAGAGATTGTGTCCAGAAAGTGGATAGTGGTATTTTGAACCCTCATTATTTAATTCATTTAAAAAATAAATAAATAAATAAAATAGCAAATGTTAACAGAGTTATAAGTACCGGTACATGATTGTCTTGACTCCATTACACATGGAAGCATCATCAAAAAGAGACAGCCAAAAAACTCACTTTCTCTGAATGACAGATTTACTCATTTCCGAGGGTCATGGCTATACTCTAACTCTTTAGGGTACTGTATTTGCACATAGTGCCTCTGTAACTCACTACAGGTACTGTACAGCCAAAGTCCATTCACATGTTATTATATCCAACATATCAGGTTAACATGTTAACAAAAGGCAACAGCATCAATTAAAGTGAAGCCAAACCAACATACACAACACTTCTTACTTCTGAGAGTGTTCCTCCTAGGTCAATGTGACACAGTGCAGTACCGTACTGTAACACACCAATACACAGTAGCCAAACTACGTATTGTACTGTGGAAACCTTAGCTACATGATCCTAAATAAATTTGAGGGTAATTTTCTGATTCTTACAGTATTATGTAAACATATACAGTACAGTAATTTTGAACAACATGAAATGTCAAAAACGTCATGAAATATTGATCTGTACAGTATATAACAGTAACTAAACATCCCAACTTAGTTTGATATCACTTGCTATTTTCACACAGATTAAATTTTTTTTTATCTTGTATAATCCTCCTCTTATAGTTTGTAGTGATACATATAACAACTAAAAAAAAGAATTTTGTAGTAATAATATCACAGTACTGTACATAAACAACAGGAAAATAATATATTGTAAATACTTTGAGTGTCCGAAGTCATTCAATAGTTCATCAACGGGAAGCTTTCAAAGTCATTAACTGCATACAGTACTGTCATACCATCAAAATACTGTACAGTAAACAATTAATTGGCTCTATTTACTTTATTATGTCTCTCATGTACAGTATAGGATAACTCTCACATCCCACAGCAGATTCAATAACTACACTCTTATTGCACTTTTTGTATGTGTGTTTTAAGTAGTAATCGAATCTGACATTTCCATTGGGCAATCAAAGTACTGTACAGGTACTACAGTACTTGGGTTAATATAGATCATACCTGTTTGGAGAAAACTCTGATACTACTTTTTCTTTAAATTCATTTACAATTTCACTCAAAACACCTCATGTTTCTTGAGGTTAAATGAAAATGATCCAAATTAAGGTCAGCAATTATTACATAAACCACACAAATTGATATAATACAAGAGATAAAGAAAAAAATATCCCCATCATCACCAACATGAAAGAACCAAGAAGGCTGTACTCACCTAGGGCTCTGTGATGGAGTGGCACCGGGGAAGTCGTCAGCATCAAAGAAGTCTTCATCTTCTGAGCTAGAGTATGAAGTCTCTGGTACAACATTATCTGGAGGGACTAGTGGACAAGGTACTGGAAACAAGAGGATGAAACTTATAAATATCATAACTTTTTTATTTAATATCTATTCTAAGTGACAAATATAATTCATTATTTCACACACATTATATCATAGATATTAAAAAAACATTACTTTTTCAGCTACTATACGTTAAGTCTAGATGCTAAACGAAAATGAAGTTAGTGAAATGAAACCTAAAATTGTGTTAAGGCTTCCAAAGTGGCATAAGCAAAATGTGTTATGTCCTGATTATCTAAGTTAATTAAAGCTCTTACCACTGACCTTGAGCTAAAGTATTTACATCCAAAAAAGGTAATTAAGCTTCAGAAAAAATCATGCTAAAAGCCCTCAACCTGAATACGGTGAAATGCAGCATCCTCCATGCAAATTCACACACCAGCTGATACAATATTTGTAAATACTGTACAGCAATATCAAAATCAAGTGTATAACTGCCTCAAACCAACGTCCTACTGCTAAGTGGCTCACACAATACACTCATTAAACCAAGGGGTCAGAACACAGGGACACCCATGACATTGGTGGCTGGGAATACAGTAATCTGATGATTGTCGATCTCTTCACATTGCAACCACTGTTCTAAGTAAACACAAAACACCTCAGTTGGTGGGCCTACCATTTTGGATTTGAGATGCAAAGCTCCATTTAGTCTCCAGTCTGCATCTCCATAGATATAAGACAAATGCAGCTTGGTCTAATTTCTACTGCAGTTCAGGGATTAGTTGGATGAATGAAATAATTCAAGGTGTTATTATTCAGGTAAGAGCAATTTTTGGACTTGTTTATATCAGTTCATAGGATTTGTTCAAAGTACAGGTATATAAAGATCCATTCCCGAGTCTCACCTGCAAGCCAGTGAAATGGCATTGGCTATGAGCAGGCTATATCAAGGGGAAAACCTGACCTAGTTTGCCTTATGTTGCTCAGTCAGCCAGCAACGGTAGTTTTATTACAGGAAATAGCTCATATTCCAATTAGGCAATTCCTCGTGTGATTTTGAATATGGTAACAGAATATTCTTTTCAGTATCACCGGATTAACTCTATAGTGAAGTAGGTCGCCTGCAAGTAATATTTGGAAGAAGTTAATGTGTCTGTGGAGGCTGTCTGGCTGTTTCCTCGCCTCTAGAATCAGAATCCCAGGGCTTCTCAAGTTATGATGAAAAACTGAGGTGAAAAATATCTCCCTTGCATTTAGAACACTTAATACCACCCCTTCCATTTCTAGTTGGCTTCCTGTACAAGAGCTGCTTAGCAGTAGGGAGTAAGTTAGAAATGGAGGAGTGCTCTTGAAATTCCTTTTCCTAACCAGATCTGTAGCCAAGTGGCTTTTATACCCCCGGTAGAGGACAGTGAGGTGAAAAATAAATGGAACTTTGCATCTGAAATCCATATGAAAGGACTGACAACTGAGGTGCAAGGAACATACAAACTACACTACTGAGACACAGTTCTGAATGACCACCTTGCTTCTAATCTCATTTCTTATCAAACGATGGCTGCAATGGGTAGCGATGGAAAATAATAGTCCAATTCAACACCATTCACCAATGTCATGGGTTTCTCTGGACCCTGAACCTATGGCTTGGTAAGCACATTACATGAGCTGCCAAGCTACAGGCTCAGTTAGAAAAGGGATTTCAGGATCAATCCTCCACTTTTAATCACGTTACAACTTATTCAGAATATGTAGCTAACTCATTGAATGGGTTCTGACAAAACATTCAAAATATAAATACTGTAAGACAAAAGTTACCAAGTATAAAAATTAAAATTAAAACATGAAAACCTTAGACCTGAATCACAGAACTGCACAAAGCAATTTGGGTTTGTCTGGGGATAATTAAAAAAATACTGATTACAGAATATAGCATTACTGTTTACTTACTCTTCATTTTAATTAATGAGCCTCATAATTCACACCTGCTGAAGACATTTTCTATCAACATCCTTCATGCCTTCACTCCAGTATTCCTCTGTACTGTATCAAGTAAATCACTCCCACTTGCCTCACTCAACTTCACTCTTCTATTTATTTTCTTCATACGTTCAACTCAATAAATCATTCTCTCCACAATACTTTGAATCCTTTTGACTCTCACATTCCACATTATATCCAATCTTATATACAGTAATCCACTGGCAGATACCAACATCTCAGACTTGCTACAGTTATTTCCAGTTTGGAATTTCAAAACCTCCGTCACAAACCAAAACCGTTTAATTTTGAAACTATCAAGACACTGCTCAGGTCAAAATTACACACGCTTAATACCTCCATTATCATCTGATCACCTGGTGAGGACTGGGAGACTTTTTCATTCTATCTTGGCTTGTTATTGTATAGAAGTAGTTAAGAAACCCTAATAAAACATGAATCCCCTTGATAAGATTCTATTACAGTCTCCTCTGAAAGCAGTAATGAAAATCTGATTGAAAATGGCACAAACTAGAAAATTATTTAAAAAATAGCCACCAGGAGGCTTCACCACCCCAAAGCGGTAAGACACACCCCCTAATGTCAATGCGAGTGTTTCAAACTTGAAGCTAATCAATTAGAAGGATTCTTGAGGCAGCATCCAATTTTAATAACAAGGAAAAAGGTAAAATACAATATTTCCCTGAACTGGAATACCAGCTTAAAGATATTAGTCTAGAAGCTTAATGAATGCTTCAGTGTATACAAATAGTGGCAGAGTTAACAAATAACTTTAATTCTAACAGCAATGTGGTGGAAGATTCTAAGAAATCAGTGAAGACCATAATATAAGCTACAAGTAGATACTGTATTAAGAAATGGACACCCCTTCAACGCACACATGCATGCAAAAACTCACACACACAAATAGTAAACATAAACAACTGTAAAAATTTCTTCAACCTCATCAGGACAAAAATATCACCAGTCGTTGAGACATTCCTATACAATACACTACTAACCTGTTGACACATACTGATGGAGATGTGGAGGAAACTACCATTATGTAGGTCTTGTGGTAAAACATAAAAGAATTACTGTAACCCTTTGAGGACAATGGTTTAAAATCTTTAAGAAGATGGTTTAATTACTTTTAATGGTAATGGTTTAGGAGTTTGAGGAGGATGCTTTGACACTTTTAGAATAGATGGATTAAATAGGGATTAGCTTAACCCAGGGATTCCCAAACCTAGGGTCACAAGCCTCATCACAAGGTGCCATAGAGCTCATGTGTTAAGGTTATACTTTATAACTGTTACATTTGATGCCTGGTTAGGTTAAGGGAATAGTGCGGTCATTTTCCCAAGGTAAAAAAAGCAGTTGAGGTATGTGAGGTCTGGTTAGGTCTTTGGATTAACATCAATTACCTTAAGTTAAGGAGACATTCCAAATAAAAAAAGACTGAAATTTTATAAAAATCGATTTTTCTCATATACTCCAGCAGTCAAGTTGAAGCTGGCAATTTCTCTCATTTCCCTCATTACTGTACAGTACTTACAATTCACAGCCACAATAGAATTGGATCTTCATGACACAGTAGACCTTACGGGGGAGAAGCAGGAATAAATGTAATATTTACACAACCTTTCAGCAAACCTTCATGAGAGATCCCCCGAGCTGCTGACTGAGTCTTTTGATTTTGCGCAGTTCCCATACAAGACTGATGCAAAAAAGTGTGGCTCCTTTGCTTTTGAAATGGCAGATTTTCAGGTCTACAATGAAACAAGGATAAATTTTGATATCTGGGATGACCTTAACAAGTTTTGTATGTGCTTACTGAAGACACACAGTGGTCAAGAATCATGCTGTTAAGAGTTCTAGTACAATTTGGAACTGTCTCCATCTGTGAAGCAGCTTTCTCTTTAATGGTGTACATAATATCTAAATATTGTAACCATATATTATCAGATACCAACTTAGAAAATGGCTAACTCTATGAAATTAACCACATACAGTATACTTCCAACTATAGAAAAATAATCAAATATTCATTTGCACATGCAATGGCTTGCCCTGTCTCAGTTACTTACAATTACATTACAGATTTGTAACTTTTTTTTTACATACTTAAATATATGTACTGTACAGGGGTACTTAAACAATACCGTTGTTCATCTTTAGACTCCTCATTAATATGCCAAGATTTCAATAAATGCACATTGTTACATGCATGTGCCTTGTCTATCTTATCAGTGCAGAAAGTAATGTACATTTGCATTATATGAATTCAGAAAAAAAATTTTTAATGTACTGTAATATTATTTACTTCAACTTTCCCCATCTTTGGGTATTTTTACTGTAGAACGTACTATAATAAAACTTTATATACAGTACAAAACTACACAAGATAATCTTATTGCATTTGAGAGAAAAATATCATGCAGATGCATGAGTTTCATGCATATTTCATGACACTTCACAACTCTGATCTAGTCTTCCTTAACCACTTGGAGTCATACTGAATAGCTGACAACAGTAGAGTGGGTACCACTGAACGAAGCTTGAGAACCCCTGGTTTAACCCTCTAAGGATGATAATTTAAGATGAAGAACGTTTAACAAATTTAGAATGATGGTTTAATTACATAGTGAGGATGGTTAAACTCTTTGAGGATGATAGTCGAACAAGATGATGATTTAACACATTTAGAATGGCCAGTTAACTACTTAATGATGATATTTCAACTTATGATCATAATTGTTTAAACGATGTTAGCCTAACACCTTCACAATGATGGCTTAATCAATCAATGGTTTATCAATTAAGGATGATGATAGCTAATATCATCATCCTCAAGGGGTTAAGTAATGATACCTTGAACATCAGATACAGGTAGCACAATCAAGACGAAGTGACAGAAGTGATGATTTAAGAAGATAATCACTGGGTGGAGATGCCATCATCAGTGAAGAAGTACAGTATTTAGTGACAATAGTAGTTAGAAAAGGGATTGATCCTGAAACCTAATCCTGTGACCTGGCCCATATAAAGTAACTCACATATTCACACTAATATTTAATAATGCTAAAAGTCAGAGGGAAAAGCAGTTAGCTCTCTCTAGCTATAAGATGTTAACAAGGACACAACCATACTGTGAGGAGGAGTGGCTGGAACTAATGGATGGAAGCCTGGAATCCAATATGGCCTAATGTCTACAGATTTTTGTGGACTCTCAACCAATGGAGACACAGTGCTATAATACAGAAGTCACTTATGGAGGGCATCAAGTCAAAACAGACAAGAAAGATTAGCTATTACCAGTACAAATGACAACAAAGCTCACTTCTTTGTGGCATATACCGTACACCCAATTATATAAGTGAAGGATAAGCAAACATACCGATACATTTCAGCACTATTCCTAAAACAGGATATAGACTCAACACAAATTGAACTCAAAACTCTACCCAAATGGGAGGCTAATGCAGACATAGGTGTACCGGTGACAATATATGGTCCCCTATGCTACAAATTGCAGAGCTACAAGTTGAGACCCACATTCTTTTTACATAAAGCTATTTTTTGGTTATCTAATATACAAGCACTATTAATGAACTGTCTTTCATTTAGATCTGACAAGACCAATTACCAAGTGAATTGCAGTAATGCATTTCAGTTTTGTTAGTGTGAGCAAGGACAACATGCAGAATGTCTGAAGGTGTTACTGTACATAGACAAAATGCTAAAAATTCAGTGATATTTATTAGAAGATCATGCCAGTGCATTGTTCTCCCTAAGAATCTGATATTTTATAGGCAGCTTATGGTCTGTCCTTCAAAATGTAGGACGCTCAGAGAAAAAAAGTAGATTCTACAAGCAAAAACTACATCAAAAAAATATTAAGAGAATCAGTCTTGCATCCTTGAAGGAGAACCTTGCAAGATGAAGTTTTTCACCACACTCGACAACATACAGTTATCTCACCTGGACTTCTTTGTCGCATTCCTACAAGCGTATTAGTTGCCTCAGCACACTCACGGCCTACTTCAATCCCAGTGCGGACCGCTGGAGACACTGTGAGTGGTACTCCTTCATCCTCTGCAGTAGAGGTCACTACTCCCACCCCTCCTCCTCCACCTCCTCCTACTCCTCTATCACAGACTCCCTCACCTCCTCCGACATTTCCTCCAAGGGATGAGGCTGATGAAGATGTTCCTTCTGGGATGGCGTTACATGGATGATACACACCATTAACAGGAAAGGCGGTGTTCTTGGCAATCTGTAATGAGGAAGGATAATTTATTGAGTGTTGGCAATAATTCAGCTATCCTACACAGACTTTGGGGATCAAAGTTTAAGCTGAAAATAAAAAAAAAAAAAAAAAAAAATTATATATATATATATATATATATATATATATATATATATATATATATATATATATATATATATATATATATATATATATATATATATATATATATATATATATATATATATATATATATATATATATATATATATATACTTTTTCTTTAGTAAAACAATATCATGAAAATGCTTATACAAAAGGCTTGGTTTACTGCTTCAGCATAATATTACAGACATTCGTATTTTTTCTCCACAAGCCAATTTAATTATCAGGTTTTTATGCAGGGACCAGGGGGTGGTTCTGAGTAAAACCATTCTTTAAAGTCCCTTAATTTAGGCATAACCAATTTATGAAAGGGTTTCATTCATGAAAAACATTTCATAATTTTGTTGTAAATCAGCTCACATTTTCCCACAAACTCCCATCATAAAAACTGAGATATGTTCCTTACATTAAGTAGAATTCAAACTGCTGACCTGTAACAAAACTATCGAGTGTTTGATGGACTCCAGGACACTGTTGACATTGTTAATAACTTCTTGGCAGCGCTGTCGGTCAGCAACGTCCTCAGTTGACCCCGTGTGTTTCTCAAGCGCGCTGGTCTGTTCAATCAGTAGTTGGAGGTAGACATCACTTTCTGTTAGTTTTTTATCAAAGTCTGCCATTGTTGGAGCTGGTTTGCTTGGGTCCCACCTCTGCAAAATGTTATTACGGTGTAAGAAATTTCACTTAACAAAATCTCCTAACATGTTGCCTACAGACTTTACCCTTTACCCATCTTTGTATCGAGTGCTTCATGGTATAAAGAAACCTCGAACAAGACAAAATAGTGATAGGGGAAGAGATGCAAAGCAAGTAAAGAAAGCAACAGGAGAGGGCTAAAACAACAAGTAGAAACACAGTACAATTCAAGTAAAAATAGTTCCCACTGTTATAACAGGGTAAGGAGCATGAAAACTTAATGGGAATAGTCACACATCATTCTTGATAGGCATTAGGCTATAAAACTAACCAACGAGGGAGTTTATGACACATATGTTGGTATTTAGCTGATCTGGTTTAAAACAGTCTTTGGTAAATTCATTAAATAAATTAAAATGTGTCATAGAAAAAAGAAAATATGGATAAAAGAACAAACAGATTATAAAACCCTTTGCTATAGACCCCGAGTCTTGTAATGTCAGGTGATAATAAACAAAATGTAGAACACAAAAAGAAACAAAATAGAGAGTAAATGTGAACAGAAATATGGGAAAGAAAGGACAGAAGAATAATGATGGGGAAGATTGAACTGGAGAGAGTAATGAAGAGAGCTTTAATTATCTAAATTACAGGCATTCCCTGAGAAAATCTTACATCTTATTGTAATTCTTATATTTCATAAAGATAAGATTTTAATGAAATCACAATTTCTTAGCATACAGGAATTTAAAAGGAAGTACAGGTACTGTACTGTGCAGCATCACATACAGTATATACTGTAAACACAGTCCAGTTATCTCCTCGTTAGCCAGAATAATTGGTGCAGAGCGGTTTTGGGTTCGAGAGATTCCCGAATGTGGAGACAAATTTTCTCATCGTGGAAAAAATCATACACACCGGAATTTTTCCCAGTACAGCATGCCCTGACAATACGTGGACCTCAATTATTTGCAGATGTCACCCTGGATGTACTCAGTTGCTGGCATTTTTGCAACCGGGACAGGGAGCCATTCATTCTAGAGACAGTAATTTCTTTTACCTGTATTGTATGTGTATGTAGGCAGACACAGACACATATATACAACACAGGTTAAAGAAATAAATATCCTAAGGGCAAACACAAAAGGAATATACTGTACATTTCTTTGCACACAAGTAAAAATATACCCCCGTCAGCAAATGTTATTCGCGGATTTGGCTATTCGCAGCCATTTTCAGAACCTAACCTCCGCGAATTTGAAGGGCATGCTGTACTAGTGAAAGTTTTTCATAAGTCTAAACTACTCATCTTGCACAAAGCAACTTAACTGCAGTTGGATATATACAGAGCTGTATTTATTTATGCAAACAAACACCACTGTCCACATACAATATTGCAAACAAAATATATTACTGTATACACTATACATGATGTAATCTCTCGGAAAGTGGTTCGAATCCCTGGGAGGTGACATTTTCTCAGAATTTTACGCAAATGCATTGATGCAATCTCTTGGATATTCGTTAAGATACCCAGAATGGAGAGATTTTTCCTGGAATTTCTCAGAATACAAAAAAAAAAAAAAATGCTGCTATTGGAATGTTCTTGGGATTGAAGATTCCAACTAATGGGAGTGATTACTGTACTGCTTTGGAAACAAATACTGTACATCCACAAAAAAAGCAGCAACCTTTCTCTCTTCCAAGCAGAATAAACAGCACAGTACAAGTCCTTACCCTTATAGACGGTGTATGTCTCACAATTGTGTCCTCTAATCCTCGGATCCATTTTTCTCTCTCATCAGGGTCATGTGCCTGAAATACACAAATACAGTATAATTAGTTACAAGATTGTATTGAACCAGTGTTGTACGTTGACGCCATCAATTTTTTGGGCAGGTGACGCTACGGGTGACGCAGTCAACTTTTCACCCGAGCGGAGCATCAAGCGTCAATTTGTTCGTCAACTTCTAAAAATTTTTATTTTTCCAAGTTCAATTTTCAATTATCTTGTTATAAAGACGACCAACAAAGCCACGAGAGAGTTGTTCATCAAATACAACACCCCCATCCCCTCTAGTGTTGCCGTGGAGCGCATGTTCTCCATGGGCAAGGACGTCTTGAGGCCCAAGCGCAGCAAAATGAGTGACAAGCATTTTGAGATGCTAGTATTCTTGTGGGGGAACAAATGAATAATTAAAATGATATAATATAAATCATAATAAATGATTAAAAAAAATTAATATTTTTTGATTTTGCATGTTACTCCCATACACAGGAGAATGCACATTTCGGGGCTGCATTTGTACATCACTGAAAACTCGCTGACGCTAACAGAGTCAATTTAAGAAATCATTTACTTCGACGCTGACGGAATCAAATTTCCCGGCCATTTACTCTGACGCTGGCGGCACCACTTTTTTTCATTGAAGCGTACAACACTGTATTGAACAATCAATTTTTTAAATACAGTGTAGTACAGTACAGGATCCAACCACCTAAGGCTTAGTATATTTTCATAAATAGGTCTTATTATATACTGTAGCTGTTTTGTATCCAAAAATACAAAAACATTGAACATGTACAACACATATCATTTACTTAAAAATTTTTCCTGATGTGGGATGATTTAATAATACAATTATCCTGTACAGTACTGTCCTATTGATAATTCTAAGTCAGCTTTACTAATGAAATAGGTTTTTGCATTTTTCTTTCAATATTGGTCTACAGCCACTCAACAGTATTTATAACAGTACAGAAATGTTCTCTTTTAGTCCTTTACTGTACACTGAATGTGAATACTGCAGCCCTATAAGAGAACACTAAATGATCACTTACCTGAAAATGAAAAGTCTTAGCATCTACAGTTATGGTGAAGGTTGAGTCATCGTCGTCATCAATACCAACGACTGCTCCTTTGAGACGCACACAACCTCTACGCGCACCACGTACCATTTTCTCTTTTGACTGGAAATATTCAAAAGTGCCTTTAAGTAAACACCTACTTAATGTGCATAAAAAAACATATTGACATTATGTTGGTAATAGTTGAGAACAAGGGTCCAAGCTAACAAATAATATCAATAGAAGAAAACTTATTTCTTACTTAAAATAATAAATCAAATCGGGTGGGGAAATACTGTACTGTTTGTCTTCAGGTTTTGTCCCTAGTTTTCTCATGGGTAGGTTAGGTTAGGTAGCTTTGCTTTCGTCTCGAGATAACAAATAAGGGTAATTTCTGAGAATGTGCCGTTCTACCTAACCTATAGAATTACACCATAACGGTTCAACAAATTTGCTTTCATTGGTACCAGATAAGAAAGTAAGTATTTTCTGTTGAATAGGGTGGAGGGCCCCAGCTAGGAAGTAAGGTAAGGTTAGGTAGATTTATTTGGTTGGTAGGGCAGATTCTATTAGGTTCTAGTAAATGTAGCCTTTTTTAAAATACTTACTAGAATGATAAGAACATGTGGAAAAAATGAACAAAATTGAACAACTCCTAGTAGTATTGCTGTTCTTTGACATAACCTAATTAACTTTTCCTTGTTCTTAATTATTACCCATTATGCCTTATGAAGAATTCAGTAGTAACATTAATTTCCTACAATCAATTTACGTATATAATTTATTTTCATATTAATTAAAGAAATAAAATTGCCTAAATTTTAAATTACCACACACAGGTAATTAACGAGTCTTATTGCATATTTGTATAAAATAAAAGGCCTATTACCTCAACAGCCAAATGTATCCAGGGTTGGAACACACAAATACTTTATTTTTTGCCGAGTTGACTGACCTAACCAACCCAAGGAAAATAAGTGTTAGTCTATAGATAAAGGCTGAAAGACCCAGACTTTATTTACAGGTCTCTTGTAAACTCTGGATAAAGTATAAAGACCGTTATTATAGAAAACATTAGAAAAATGAAGAATCATGATCAAGTTTATCATTATACCTTATTTAACACTACCATACAGGCCATTTAATGGTGCTTCACATAAACCACAAAATACCCTTTAAAATAAAATTATTTATGAAAGGGCATTCAGTGGTTGTTAATTAACGACCAATAAAATGAGTGACGACACCCAATTTAGAGGAGGGTCCTGATAATTGGGGGCTGCCTGTGTGTTCCGTCACCCTCAACTCCTTCAGGATCTGTCACTTGCATTATGTACTGGGTGTCTTACTCCACCAACTTACTGTGTAATACGAGAGCAACCCAGCACTGTCATCCAGCACAAACCAGCGGTATTGCCAGCCTTTCATAACATTAGTCCATTTGCTGAGAGGTCCTTCCATCACAGCCATCTTGCTAGGTAGGTGTAAGACTGGCCAGTGGGAGTAAAGTGTCACTAAATAGAATCTAATGCTTTATACACAGTCCCATGTACAAGAATCCACGCCTTCAAACTCAAAACAAAACAACATCGCTAAATATTAATAGATATTTTGATTCTTTATAAACCCCGTGTTTACATTAACTTATTTTGTTTATACATATCAAAAAGGGCGGGAATAAGCAGACGAAATCATTCCTAGTTGTAGAATTATAAGACAAATTATAGAGGAAATATGAGTAATGGGATTATAACACCTTATCATGACAACTATTTTAGATAAACCTTTACATTATTTGTTGGTAAGCCTTACAAATATATATATATATATATATATATATATATATATATATATATATATATATATATATATATATATATATATATATATATATATATATATACACGAAGTTCTCAAATATTTTCGTGTAATTCACTGACCCCTTTTTACTTTATCCTCTTCTCCGCTGATCGGTTCGTTACCCGCTTGGGTGATCGGTCACGTCTCTGTCACGCACTGTTGGCAAGTACTGGGACATGCATCGGCTCCTGAATGTACCTGAACCCGCTCCAGTGTTGGTCAAGTCTGATCTTGAAAGAGCTCACATTCGGTGCCATCACAACACTGGCAGATTGTTCCAAGAGTTCACAACTCTCACTCAGAAAAAGATACCCCTCACACCTTGAGCTGTGACCCCTTGTGGGGCGAGCGTCCGTCAACTCCAGGTAGGGTCACTTGACTGAGTAGTGCCCTTTGAGATGCTTATGCACCTCAATTAGGTCCCCCCTTGCCCGTCTGTAGACTAAGCTTGGTAATTTCAGGCGCTTTAATCTCTCAGGGTGGCTCAGGTGCCGTAGTGGCCCTCTTTTGGACATTTTCAATCAACTGGTAGTCCCCTGAAGATGTGAATTACACGAAAGTTCTTGAGAACTTCGTGTTTTCTTGTTTCCTATGTGGTTATTAGCTGAAAGACCCAGACTTCATTTGCATGCCTCTTGTAAGCTCTGGATAAACTATAATGACACCGTTATTGTAGAATACATTATTACAAAACTGAAGAAACACTGTGCAACGAAGAATGACGAAAATGATTCCGGGACTTAAAACCTTCCATATCAGGATAGATTAAAGAAACTAAACTTGCATTCCCTAGAAAGACGAAGAGTGCTGGGAAATAGATAAAGTTCTTATAATATCCGAGCAGAATAGGACTCAAAGGAACGGATTTAAGTTGGATAAATTTAGGTTTAGGAGGGAGATAGGAAGGAACTGGTTCAAAATAGGGTGGTAGACGAGGGGAACAAGCTTAGCAACTTTGTAGTAAGTGCTGGAACGCTGGAAAGTTTTAAAGGGAGGCTAAATAGATTCATGGATGACAGAGAGTGGTTGTAACTCTAGACAGGAGCTGCCATGCATAGGCCAACCGGCCTATTCCAGACTCTTTATTTTCTTATGTTCTTATGTTCTTATCAAACACTACCATGCAGTACATAATGATGATACCTTCGCCTCGATCAGAATTATTTTGAGTGATGCAAGTACATCGGTTGCATCAATCTGGATCCAGGTCTGTGGAACAAATTTCGAAATTTTAAACAAACCTTTGAGAGAACCTTTATGAGAGTTTTGTCTCTCATAAATTGTATTCATTGTTGGATTAATGTATTTATCGAACTTTTTGCGTACTTAAATACATCAGTTATTGAAGTACAGTAGTAACATTATAAAATGAAGTCACCACTCCATATTTAATTTTCCCGCGGTTTTATTTTTATTTTGCATTGACTATTTTAACCTAATACAGGATTATTTTCCACGAAATACAACGAAATTTACGATATTTCAGGTATATAGTTCAAAATTAGCTTAAAAATTAAATTATATAAGAACACAGGAGAAAATAAACTCAGTAGAAGGAACCATCGCACTAGTCGTCACATTGGCCAGATGGAGTCTGCCATCACAACCCTCTCTTACAGCGCCGCCCCGGGGAGGGTGAGTGTGTGTTGCTTCTTTAATAAATAATTGTGTTTGGGGGGCTCTTATTGTTGCTGTTCGTGGTTAGTCTGTGATTAAAAGTATTACTGGTGACCGAGCATCAGTTAGATTTGCAATTTAAGGTGTAACTTGTACGATAAAGTTGATTAATTGTGACTAGCTTGTAACGAGGTTCACCATGTGGCTCCCGTTGTTGGTACTGGTAAACAAGGTGCTGAAAGTTTGATAGTGACTAACTCCTCTGTTATCTAAAGTGAGCTATTTCACTTAGTGTGGACTAAATGCTGTATAATTAAGTAGTGAGATATTTTATCTGGGGTCATGAGCTAGGTAGATTTATGTGTACAGGTGTTGCTCAGTAGGTGTGTGGTCCTCGTGATAACTAATACACCAACTTAGGTAGATTTACATTAACCACATTAGTCACACTAGGTTGACATTAACATCAAAGATCATATTTTGAAATACGATATATATGGAATTGTCTTGTATTTATTTTGGTTGGAAGTGGTTATTTAGCCAGAAATTCCTGGTGTAGGGTTCTCAAGAGGACCCCTCGCTGTGGGTGGGGGAGCCCGTCGGTTAGGACATCTGCGAGGGAAACGTCAAAGGAGAAATTAAGTTTACCAATTTTTTGTGACTTCGTGACACCAAATGCTAGTCGAGGTTAGAACGTGCACTCTATCTATTAACTCAGATTAAATTAAGTTTACCAATTTTTTGTGACTTCGTGACACCAAATGCTAGTCGAGAAGTGATTGGCAGTCCGATTTATTCATCTAGGACCATTATTTGACTTCATTCCGGCTATATTTGGCTACATTTGGGTACAGGTAATTAGTCGGACCCGGTGTTGGTGTTTCTTATTGGCTATAGCGATAGGAAACATAATTAGGCAAGAGTTTTTGTCTTAGCCAATGAACAATGCATGGGTGTGTCGGGAGTAGAGATTATATTTTTTCAATACCAGAATAACCATACATGGCTGAACACGTGGAAGAGCTGTGCCGACATTGTGTTAGAGATTATTTTACGTCAATTGCAGAGTTTCATCGGAAAAATAATGTTAGGTTAGGTCAGGTTAGGTTTGGTTTTTATTTGTGATTTATTCGGAAAAATTTTTCGTTAAGATTGTGGGGGTCTCAAAAACTATTGATTTCCGGCTGAAATGAATATAAAATTCGTTAGGAACTCCTCAAAAACGTCGGACAAATATTTTTAATATCCAAAGACGGGTGCATTAGTGAAAATTGACTGGAATATGACTTAAAATACTGTAGTCTAAACTATTGATAACAAAGATAAAATTCTTAAGATTTATGTGTTGTCCGAAAATACAATTTGCCCACTCCTTACTCTACGTCTCAAGAGAATGCAAATTAAAATATCCTAATCTATTTTCAAAGTTCCTAATTTGTAGGACCAGTTTTCTCAATCTGAATGATTTCAAAGGAAGTGATATTGTGTGGTGCAGTATATACTGTATGGTGACCAAAACTGAACTGCAGAATTCAAGATCTGACTGATCAATTCCAAATAAAGTGACTACACCATTACCTTACTTTTTGTCGGGTAGTCCGTACTGTACAAAATAATATGCATTTCACGATGAAAGACTATGCACCACACAGATGGTCCTGTTGATATAAAAAAAATCCTTTTCTGATATCAGCTTAGTAATACTGTTGTATGTATGTGCTTTTAGTTTGTGTTGTAAAGTATTTCCCTTGCTCAGGTTTCACAAGCGTCAAGATGGGCGCTTACAAGTACATGCAAGAGATTTACCGAAAGAAGCAGAGTGATGTCATGCGCTTCTTGCTGCGTATACGTGCCTGGCAGTATCGGCACTTGAACAAGCTGCACCGTGCTCCCAGGCCCACACGCCCTGAGAAGGCCCGCAGGCTTGGATACAAGGCAAAGCAAGGTAATTTTTCTTGTTAACACTAATGGTTTTAGGCATTGAAGTTATATTATGTAATTTGTTTATTGAACTTTTTGTAAGGATGAATGGTAATGCACCACTCAGAGTGGCTATGTTGACTAACAAAACCCTTTTTTTTTCTGAACATTGCTTGACATTTTAAGATATACTGTATCTGTTTGTCAAATATTTTAACTTGGATGATTGTTACTTCAGGGTATGTGATCTACCGCATCCGTATTCGCCGTGGTGGTCGCAAACGCCCAGTACCCAAGGGTGCCACATATGGTAAACCCAAGAGCCACGGTGTGAACCAGTTGAAGCCAACCCGTAACTTGCAGTCATTGGCTGAGGTATGTATGTTTACCTTGGTAGTTTTCATGCCTTCCAACTTTTCTGCCCATTTAAACTGAGGTTGAAGCCTTCCGTGACACAAAATATCCCGTCTTATTATTTGAGTGATTGTTTAGAATAACATTGATATTAATTCTTATATTTAAGGCTGGTCTTTCTCATAATTGATTTTGGTAAGCTGGTGATAAACATTTCATTCACTTACCTATTTTAAAGAATGGTCTACATTACATATGACCAATGCAGCCTGCTTGCATTTATAGGTTGGGCACCACTTATTTGTCTATTATACAGTATATATGTGATTTTGGCACAACATAATTGCTCACTCTTCAGGGTAACTGGCACTGTATCCAGAAGTTGAATCCTCTGTACAGCACAATTTTCAGTTAGACCACACAAGGGTGGAAGATTGCTGTAAAACTATATGTAAGAATAATGAAGATTCATGAATTAAGATATTGTCAGTTCTACATGAATGCAGATCACCTGTGATAGGTAGCCACTTTGGAAACAGGACTGTCAAAGATCATTCATCATGACAAAACTCATATTCAACTTTTAGATATTGGTCGTGAAATTTGGAAATGGTTCTAATTTTGTGTAACATCAGTTTCACAGAACCTGCTAATATGATTGCATTATTATCAGCATGGGAGGTAGCATCTCTTTGGTTAAACAGATTTGAGGAAGTCACTGCAATGTGCATGAAATCTCATTAACTGCTATGTCCATAGGAGCGTACAGGCCGAAGACTTGGTAGCCTGCGTGTGCTGAACAGCTACTGGGTTGCCCAAGATTCTACATTCAAATACTACGAAGTTATCTTGCTTGACATTCGCCATAATAACATTCGTAAGGATGCTTCAATCAATTGGATGTGTAATCATACACATAAGCACCGGGAAATGCGTGGCAAGACATCTGCTGGTAGAAAGCATCGTGGTCTGGGCCGTGGATTCCGCTACTCAAAGACAAAGGGAGGATCACGTCGCGCAAGCTGGTTGAAGCGCAACTCCTTGTCTCTCCGCAGGAAGCGTTAAGATGTATTATTTTACTCCATCTCGGGTTAATAAAAAAAAATGAGTACACAAGATGTATTATTTTACTCCATCTGGGGTTAATAAAAAATACTATTATTCTATTTGTTAGTTTGAAGTCCTTGTTGCTTTGACAAAATTAAATACTGTAACTTTATAAGAAGTTAATGAGAAAATTGTGTACGGGTACTGAGCACAGTTAAAATGTCCATATGGGTCTGATGAATTTCAAAGTGATTAATGTTTTGTTTTAATAAGGTTCTCCACCCCTCACTCTTGTGTTTCACAAGAGAATGCAAATAAAATTTCTTAATCTATTTTCAAGGTTCATAATTCCTGGGACCGGTTTTGTCTCCCTGAATGTGCTTTCATGGGAGTGATATTCATGTGTAGTACAGTTCTGTATGGTGAGCAAAACTGAACTGTATAATCCAAGGTGGGTCTAACATATTTGAGTTATAGTTTAAGGATTACCTCTGCTGTCCTGTTAGTGCTCCAAGATACAAGATTCATACTGGCACTTTTCTAAATGATTGAGCTGTATATGCCCCAGCATGATTATAAAAAACAAGATAACACAAGCCTTGTGGACAATTGTGAGATTCCACCAGATTTATTCCCTAAGCATGAAAACAAACCTCACTGAAGAGTTGAGTGAAAAATTCCAAAAAAGTATTTTCTCTCTTCCCTTAAAATTTGTCATGTAGTCAATACAAAATAATATGCATTTCATGATGAAAGACTGTACGATTCAGATGGTCCTGTTGATTAAAAAAAAATCCTTTTTCTGATATCAGCTTAGTATTGTAATACGTATGTAATTTTAGTTTGTGTTCTTAAGTATTTCTCTTGCTCAGGTCCCACAAGCGTCAAGATGGGCGCTTACAAGTGCATGCAAGAGATTTACCAAAAGAAGCGGAGTGATGTCATGCGCTTCTTGCTGCGTATACGTGCCTGGCAGTATCGGCACTTGAACAAGCTGCACCGTGCTCCCAGGCCCACACGCCCTGAGAAGGCCCGCAGGCTTGGATACAAGGCAAAGCAAGGTAATTTTTCTTGTTAACACTAATGGTTTTAGGCATTAAAGTTATATTATGTAATTTGTTTATTGATCTTTTTGTAAGGATGAATGGTAATGCACCACTCAGAGTGGCTATGTTGACTAACAAAACCCTTTTTTTTTTCTGAACATTGCTTGACATTTTAAGATGTACTGTATCTGTTTGTCAAATATTTTAACTTGGATGATTGTTACTTCAGGGTATGTGATCTACCGCATCCGTATTCGCCGTGGTGGTCGCAAACGCCCAGTACCCAAAGGTGCCACATATGGTAAACCCAAGGGCTACGGTGTGAACCAGTTGAAGCCAACCCGTAACTTGCAGTCATTGGCTGAGGTATGTATGTTCTTTGGTATTTTTCATGCCTTCCAACTTGGGGACACAAGGTTGGGGGGTGTCAACATATATACTAACATTCTTTTTTTTATTACAAGGAAATTTTCAGTAAAGTTATATGACTACTTTTTTTCCTTAGTTAAACAGTATATTTCAGTCTTCCCCATATACACAGGGCATGGATAAAATTATTGTTTGTTCATCTTTAAAGTATGTTAATACTGGAATAAGGTGTAAATTGAATAAAAAAGTTGAATAAATTTATTTCAAATAATGGGGTGGTGGGTGTGATAGTGTTGGTAAAAAGCATATGGGGGCAGCATGAGAGGAACCTTAAGAACCACTGACTTCCAGTGACTTATATACTACAGGTGTACACATCTTGTTTGTGAGGTTTCGAAAGTGTTCCTGGAACTAAATTCTGACATTATTGAAAGGTTGCCATATTATCAATTACAGCCTGTACTACCCAGTGGAAATCATGGTGAACGAAACTGCATTTTGGCCACAAGTATAATCTTGGGGTATAGCTTGCAGGATCCATTTCTGATTTCAGCTTAGTAATACCATAATAGGTATGTACTTTTAGTTTGTGTCCTAAAGTATTTCCCTTGCTCAGGTCTCAAGCATCAAGATAGACGCTTACAAGTACATGCAAGAGATTTACCGAAAGAAGCGGAGCGATGTCATGCGCTTCTTGCTGCGTATACGTGCCTGGCAGTATCGGCACTTGAACAAGCTGCACCGTGCTCCCAGGCCCACACGCCCTGAGAAGGCCCGCAGGCTTGGATACAAGGCAAAGCAAGGTAATTTTTCTTGTTAACACTAATGGTTTTAGGCATTACAGTTATATTATGTAATTTGTTTATTGAACTTTTTGTAAGGATGAATGGTAATGCACCACTCAGAGTGGCTATGTTGACTAACAAAACCCTTTTTTTTTCTGAACATTGCGTGACATTTTAAGATGTACTGTATCTGTTTGTCAAATATTTTAACTTGGATGATTGTTACTTCAGGGTATGTGATCTACCGCATCCGTATTCGCCGTGGTGGTCTCAAACGCTCAGTACCCAAGGGTGCCACATATGGTAAACCCAAGGGCTACGGTGTGAACCAGTTGAAGCCAACCCGTAACTTGCAGTCATTGGCTGAGGTATGTATGTTCTTTGGTATTTTTCATGCCTTCCAACTTGGGGACACAAGGTTGGGGGGTGTCAACATATATACTAACATTCTTTTTTTTATTACAAGGAAATTTTCAGTAAAGTTATATGACTACTTTTTTTCCTTAGTTAAACAGTATATTTCAGTCTTCCCCATATACACAGGGCATGGATAAAATTATTGTTTGTTCATCTTTAAAGTACTGTATGTTAATACTGGAATAAGGTGTAAATTGAATAAAAAAGTTGAATAAATTTATTTCAAATAATGGGGTGGTGGGTGTGATAGTGTTGGTAAAAAGCATATGGGGGCAGCATGAGAGGAACCTTAAGAACCACTGACTTCCAGTGACTTATATACTACAGGTGTACACATCTTGTTTGTGAGGTTTCGAAAGTGTTCCTGGAACTAAATTCTGACATTATTGAAAGGTTGCCATATTATCAATTACAGCCTGTACTACCCAGTGGAAATCATGGTGAACGAAACTGCATTTTGGCCACAAGTATAATCTTGGGGTATAGCTTGCAGGATCCATTTCTGATTTCAGCTTAGTAATACCATAATAGGTATGTACTTTTAGTTTGTGTCCTAAAGTATTTCCCTTGCTCAGGTCTCAAGCATCAAGATAGACGCTTACAAGTACATGCAAGAGATTTACCGAAAGAAGCGGAGCGATGTCATGCGCTTCTTGCTGCGTATACGTGCCTGGCAGTATCGGCACTTGAACAAGCTGCACCGTGCTCCCAGGCCCACACGCCCTGAGAAGGCCCGCAGGCTTGGATACAAGGCAAAGCAAGGTAATTTTTCTTGTTAACACTAATGGTTTTAGGCATTACAGTTATATTATGTAATTTGTTTATTGAACTTTTTGTAAGGATGAATGGTAATGCACCACTCAGAGTGGCTATGTTGACTAACAAAACCCTTTTTTTTTCTGAACATTGCTTGACATTTTAAGATGTACTGTATCTGTTTGTCAAATATTTTAACTTGGATGATTGTTACTTCAGGGTATGTGATCTACCGCATCCGTATTCGCCGTGGTGGTCTCAAACGCTCAGTACCCAAGGGTGCCACATATGGTAAACCCAAGGGCTACGGTGTGAACCAGTTGAAGCCAACCCGTAACTTGCAGTCATTGGCTGAGGTATGTATGTTCTTTGGTATTTTTCATGCCTTCCAACTTGGGGACACAAGGTTGGGGGGTGTCAACATATATACTAACATTCTTTTTTTTTATTACAAGGAAATTTTCAGTAAAGTTATATGACTACTTTTTTTCCTTAGTTAAACAGTATATTTCAGTCTTCCCCATATACACAGGGCATGGATAAAATTATTGTTTGTTCATCTTTAAAGTACTGTATGTTAATACTGGAATAAGGTGTAAATTGAATAAAAAAGTTGAATAAATTTATTTCAAATAATGGGGTGGTGGGTGTGATAGTGTTGGTAAAAAGCATATGGGGGCAGCATGAGAGGAACCTTAAGAACCACTGACTTCCAGTGACTTATATACTACAGGTGTACACATCTTGTTTGTGAGGTTTCGAAAGTGTTCCTGGAACTAAATTCTGACATTATTGAAAGGTTGCCATATTATATTCAATTACAGCCTGTACTACCCAGTAGAAATCATGGTGAACGAAACTGCATTTTGGCCACAAGTATAATCTTGGGGTATAGCTTGCAGGATCCATTTCTGATTTCAGCTTAGTAATACCATAATAGGTATGTACTTTTAGTTTGTGTCCTAAAGTATTTCCCTTGCTCAGGTCTCAAGCATCAAGATAGACGCTTACAAGTACATGCAAGAGATTTACCGAAAGAAGCGGAGCGATGTCATGCGCTTCTTGCTGCGTATACGTGCCTGGCAGTATCGACACTTGAACAAGCTGCACCGTGCTCCCAGGCCCACACGCCCTGAGAAGGCCAGCAGGCTTGGATACAAGGCAAAGCAAGGTAATTTTTCTTGTTAACACTAATGGTTTTAGGCATTAAAGTTATATTATGTAATTTGTTTATTGAACTTTTTGTAAGGATGAATGGTAATGCACCACTCAGAGTGGCTATGTTGACTAACAAAACCCTTTTTTTTTCTGAACATTGCTTGACATTTTAAGATGTACTGTATCTGTTTGTCAAATATTTTAACTTGGATGATTGGTACTTCAGGGTATGTGATCTACCGCATCCGTATTCGCCGTGGTGGTCGCAAACGCCCAGTACCCAAGGGTGCCACATATGGTAAACCCAAGAGCCACGGTGTGAACCAGTTGAAGCCAACCCATAACTTGCAGTCATTGGCTGAGGTATGTATGTTCCTTGGTAGTTTTCATGCCTTCCAACTTTTCTGCCCATTTAAAATGGGGGGGGGAGGGTGAATCCTCATGAAAAACTTGTATACTGTACTTACATTCTTTTTGTTATTGGTAAATTTTTATTTAAATTGTTTAAGATTAATTTTTTTCTTGGTATATTTCAAGTCTTCACCATATGCATAAGATGTTTGGATAAAATAAATATGAATTACAGGTAGTTGTTCTTGAAAATATATAAATACTAGTACAATGTGACTTATATGTACTGTAGGTGTACATTTCATTTTTGAAATTTCAAAGGAGTACTCTGAAAACTAAAATCTGGCATTTGTTATTGTTAGGTTGCCATATATTAAATTTTAAGAGGAAACCCCACTCCAAGTTCCGATTAGGAATTGTCTGAACTGTGCCCATCCCCTGTCTAGCTATGTTGCATTTTCTGGTCTGGTGCCCTGGGTTTGTAGTGGTGAGCAGAGGGACCTCCTGTTCAAGTTTTACCTAACAGTTGCCATCGGGGATAATCAAGGTTAACCCACACAAGCGTGGAAAAATTCTGTAACATGGTGTGCAAGAACCAGTGAAGAATCATAAAGTAAGATATTGTCAGTTCTATGTGAGTACAGATGACATGATAGGTAGCCACTTTGGAAACAGGCTGTCAATGATTATTCAACATGACCATAAAAACTCATATATTCAACCTATAGATATTGGTCATGAAATTTGAAATTTTTTATAATTTTGTGTAACACCAGTTTCACAAATCTGCTAATAGGATTGCATGATCATCAGCACATGAGGTAGCATCTCTTTGGTTAAACAGATTTGAGGAAGTCACTCCTATGTGCATGAAATCTCGTTAACTATGTCCATAAGAGCGTACAGGCCGGAGACTTGGCAGCCTGCGTGTGCTGAACAGCTACTGGGTTGCCCAAGATTCTACATTCAAATACTACAAGGTGATTGTGCTTCACATTCGCCATAATAACATTATGAAGGATGCTTCAATCAATTGGATGTGTAATCCTACACATGGGCTCCGGGAAATGCATGGCAAGACATCTGCTGGTAAAAACATCGTGGTCTGGGACGTGGATTCCGCCACTTAAAGACAAAGGGAGGATCACGTCGCTCAAGCTGGTTGAGGCGCAACTCCTTGTCTCTCTGCAGGAAGCTTTAAGCATGCGTGTGTTTGTGTGTGTGACAAATAAAAAAAATGAATGCACAAGATGTATTATTATACTCCATCTGGGATTAATTAATACAAAAATATTATTTTGTTAGTTTTAAGTCCTTGTTGCTTTGACAAAATTGAACTTACTGAAAAATCTTGTATATGCTGTAAAAAACCATATCTAGATGGGCCTGATGAAATTTAAAAAAAATGAGCAATATGACGAGTGTTGTCTCCATAAGGTTGTCAAAAATCTTTTGTCTCTGGTGTCATTAATTCATAGTATGGATAGATATTCTTTTTACCATGCCTGGAGTAAGGGCTGGGCAAGTGTTTTTCATGGTCATTTGCCCAGTGGACAAGCTAATATTTTGAGGTAAATACCATGTCAGGAAATTGTCTGGTGCTGCAACACCTCGCCTTCCCATACATGTTTAACCAGAGAGGTCCATCAGTACCAGGACTAGTGACCTATGTCACATGCAGGTAATTTATCTCCACTTTAAGCCACCAACCCGCCATTAGAAAGTTGTCAAGTTGTCATTGGTTCAAAGAAACCACAAAGCTAAGAAGCTGTAGATGTGAGGTGACAGGAGTTATAACCACCCATACAAGGGTTACCACCACTGACCCCATTTTTAGATGGACACAAGTGGTCTGAGTTGAAATACATGTTTTAAGATGTTTAACTTTTTCCCTAAGAAAATCGGGGAAGCAAATTTCAACATTTGTCAGGGCAAGTAAAAAAAATATTCTCAATTAAATTTCCTGTCTCTTGCCCCCAGGACAAGTAAGTGCTTCACATAAACTACAGTCTGATCAAGGAAAACTAATTCTTGAATTAGTCTTATTCCATGTAGTCCGAGGGTTAAATTTCATAACCCCGGTCTAATTTAAGTGTCCCCCCCCCCTAGTTCCAAGCTGTGTAATTTCCAGTTCTCTCCTAGACTCTGGTCCAATTTTTGCAGACTACACCTTAATTACATTTGTTTGCTTGTTTGAGGACATAATTTTACAGCTTAATTCCATGCTTGCGTGGGTTAGCTGCAGTTCTGTGATGGTAGCTCACCCCTGCTGCATGTTCTCTTAGTCTTTGGTCAGGTTCCTAACCGTCATTTCTTACTTCTCCCCTGGCTCTCTTCCTCTCCACATTTAGGCTTTTGCACCCATTATGCCTATGGCATTTCTTTAAGAGCATATCTGCAATTATATAATAGGCATCAATGTACAGTACAGTATTACTAATGTAATACAGTTTAATTACAGTATTATAGATGTCTGCATAGGATTTTACACTTAATTTTGTTTCAAATCTCATCCGGTTTCTCCAAGTACTGTACCATAAAAAATTATCACTGTACTGTATGTACAGTACAGGTATATCAATAAATTTATTATGGTCTATTGTACACCAAAATGTTTCGTGGTACAGGGTATTATTATCTTAGGAACATATAACCGCTTTTACAAAAAGTCCACCAGGCTCTCAAAATCTACTTTCACTTTTCATACACTTCAAATCCAAGTCCTTTCAATTATGGCATATTTAAGTTACACTATGCAGACTAACCTTAGTTAGGAGGATAATAAGATAATAATAATAATAATTAATATATATTATCTTAAACATTTATTTACAACCTTGAACAAAACTCATCTATGTTCAGAATGCTATCAAAATTTTCCAGCTCTTATCCATAGCAACTTACTGTACTCTTAGTTTCATTGGGCAGCCCATACATCTAAAGTAACAATACAATTTAAACTTGACTGTACAGTAAATATTCTTTAGATGATGATCTCTGTATTTCCAAGTTCTTCATCGTCGGGCATCTCTATCTTGTCAATAGCAATAAGATTTGGATCAATGAGTGGAAGACCTAATTCCTCCCTCCGACGCAGTTCCAAGTATCCTTCACGCTGTGCCCAGTCCATCATTCTGTAGATTAAATTTTTATGTTATACTAACCAGTCACCACAAGCAAACATATTTGTAATCAACCTTTTCACCAGTACTGTAAATAAGCTGTATTATGGGTCTAAAATAGCTAGTATGTGATGCAGGCAGTGAGGGATTACATTTCAATTGGTGGGATTTACCTAAGAAAGGTATCTAAGCTGTCAGATTATAGGCTCGGCTAAAATAAAGGATAAACTTCACATCCCTAGCTAGGTGCCCTCCACCAGGAAGCAGGTTTCAGAGGACAATAACCAATTTCTTTACGTACAAACACTCCCACCAATGTAAATTGGCCTCATCTCCTCCAACAATTAATGTCTTTTTACTAGAAATATTTCTCTCTTGCTGCAATTTCAAGAAATAGATATGGCAGCAAATATTCTGCCTTTTATTGCATCAAGCAATTTGAAATTCTAGTTTGGGATAGAGTTACACTGTAATAGCTACTGACAAGACAGGATAAGACTGGCCCATTTCAGGTAATTTTTAAAATTTTGTGTCTGACAATAGCTCCATATAATTATATTAAAGTACACATTACAGGTAGCAATGTCTTTCATCCCCATTTTTTTTTTCACTGGATAGCATAAAGTTACATCAAGACTTTCCCTATCACATCCCATGGGTTAAGGCCGAGACACCATATCTGTTAAATGACCCAGCAAGTAGAGTTACAAATGCTTGTGTCAGAGACTTGGAACAAAGTTTTTAACAAATGTAAACACTTGCAATTTTTGTCACCAACAACTACATACAAAAATTAACACCTAGAACTATGTGGCTGTCATCAAAAAATTGCTACATTGAACATAAAGGCAGCAAATAGCTTCTAGCAATGTATACTGAAAACAGACTGGCTTATAATATGCAAATATTAAATACTAATTACCAGACTTATATACTGAAGTCATCATATTACTTAAACTCACTCCAAAGGTATTGTTAATACAGTATTCTGAATTGCTTCAATTCTCATAACGTACCATATTTTTTCATCAGTTCCCTTATATAATTTTCCACTTACTGGAAAATGGCCCATCAATTTATTTATACAATAATTGTCAAAATGGTAATAATAATAAAATATTAACTAATTATAATACCTGAAATCTGGCAGGTAAGTCCAGACAAAGCCTGTGGTGACAAGACAAAGAGTGACACCAAAGAAGAAGGTCAAATGCATTAACGTGTTGTCCTTAACTTCTGATTCGTAACTGAAGCCCCAACTAATCCAGTTCTGTAATAAAAGTTAAATAAGTATAAATTGTAAATACACAAGTTCAAAGCTGACTTGACATTACAAACAAATAATTATATGAAAAAAGCTATTTCTACAAAGGTAGGAGTGGATCCAATTACAGTAGCTAAAATCTGGCACAATTCATTGAAAAAGAATGATTATAAGGAACATAAGTTTCTGTAATAATATGTCCAGCAAAGCTGTCATTGCCCGGTACTTCTCTAATAAATTAAGGCACAAGCCGATACGGGTAAATTTCTTTTCCTAATTTGGTCTGGCACACATTTTTCAGAATGCATAGTGCTTATAGCATTCCAGAAGTTTTTGGTGAGAATGCTCCAGTAAGTTAAGCAAGTGGCAATAGCTTTACAAGTAAAGTAAAACATTTACCAATAATTTTTGTCAAATAATCTACATGAGAAGGTATCCATAATCTTAAAAGATAGCTAGTAGTAATGCTTTATTTTAAGAGGCACCACCACAACAATATTGTACTGTCATCAAGTATTACCAATAGAGCTTGTGGTTCATTTCTACTAATCTTAAACATCAGTGACAGTTTTCACCAATTCACTGAAAGCATACAGGCTGTGTTGAGGAAAAACAAAGCCCACTCGGTAGCTCAGCCTGAAGAAATCATTGTCGTTGCTAGTGTTAAGGGGATCATATTTCCATAAATAAGCATTTCTCATAGAAATAAAAGTTATATTTCTTCAAATCACCATAAAAAAAAATATTTTGAATATTAAATTCATGTTATAGCATAAAATGATCTTTTTAGCCTATCCTTCAGTCATAAATTACTTGTTAGTGGACAGGGCATGACAGAAAGGAATACTAATGGAGCAAAAACACTGGTGAACACTTATTATATGGCAGAAATAAATTATTTAATATAATTATGGCACCATCAGATCTCCCGTGGCGACCAAGTTTTGGTTCACATTGTTTGCTATACAGCAGCGTCCACTGTTTTTTGTTTAAACGAGAAACGAACGACTACGTCATCGGGCATATTTATTACAATTTATATTGGATTGAATTCCTTAATTTTGTCTAGAAATGTTGTTTGGATGAGAGTAAGAAAATCTAAATGACAATGCACAGGTTAGGTTCTAATAGGTTCTGTGCTGCGTCGTTTCGATTTTCTACAATAGTGTGATATGGTTACATCCCATTTGGACGGTCGTCTGTTTTATGCTATTTAATGTAACCTAGTTTAACCTAACCTGATCATTTAACTAAGATAGTAAAAAAATAGCAGAAAACAGATGATTGTCCAAATTGGATGACACCTTGTGATGTAGTGTCACCCCTGAAACAAACAAAAACATTACCACATACAAATTACAGTAAACTTAATAAAATAACTAAATTCGGGAATACATAGATTATGAGCAATATTATGGTCTAAAAATATACACCTGTACTTTTATAAATTGACCTTTTTGGTTTCGACTGTGGCCTCCTCCGTCTTGGTTTTACCATGGTCAACCACGGCGTCTGAAATAGTAATGGTGTCTTTATTCTTCTTGGACGTCGAAATAGTAGCAATTCTCAAGACTCTTGGTCGAAATAAGACATTGTTGAGCCGGAGAGCTGTTCTTCCCAGCCTTGTGATGGTCGCCATTTTAGCTGAACAAGAATGAAAACAAACTTGTGGGAGATGAGAAACACCGGGTGGTCCTGAAGTGCGAAAACAAATTAAAACAACAGGAACTAAGGACAGCTTCAGTTAACATCAATAATAATGTCTTTACGTATGCATGGAGCATCAAGTTTTATAATTACATTTTATATCTCTTGTTGAAATGTAGATAAAACTCCTGAATACAAATATTAACTTCATTGGACAATACAGGTACACCAGTATTAAATGTTGTTTTATAACCTATATTTCTCCAATTAAGATATAATTTTTATGTAACTCGTCAGATTACATAATTTTTTTATCTATACAATATTTATAAAACATTATTATTTGCACTTATTAAGGTTTTTCCTGGCGGATTTGCTTTTTTCGTATTTCAGAAGGACCCCACACTATCAGAAAAATGAGTAAGATGATACAGGTTAATTAATATTAACAAAAGTACCATGGAGGAGGGTTCTAAATTAGTTAGTCATAAGACGACACCAAACAAGTAAACCTGCTTTCAAGTAATGCTAAGAGTCAATATTATTCAGCGGTCCTAGTGCCATCTGCTGGTGTCCTCCATAGGAAGTGTGTCCTGCCATAGAAAACTTGTTTATTTTAGGGTAAACAGAAATATTCTACTTATTTTTGTTTAATCTGGGTGAAGGCGACAAGTCTGTGTTTCTAGATGTCCATTCGTTTATCCTAAATGCATGTCTTAAAAGTGACGGGCTTGTGGTGATACAACGTACTCGTTGGTCAATTTATTTGGACCCGTGCTTGAGTCTCTGTTTTAAGTAGCTCCTGTCTCGTCTATATTGAAATTGTTTAAGGCTTCGTTGACGATAATGTTATTACTGTGCTTCAACAACTAAGGTCTTTAAGCATGTAACGAGGTTAGTGATTAAGCTATTCCATCAACTCTAATTAAAAAAAAATCATTAATTCCTCAAACTCTAGCGTCACTATTCAGGAGAATTGTGGGTAAGCGCGGGAACCTGGGAGACCACCTGAGATAGTAAACAAGTGGAGTCTTACGGGCGTCGGCTCATTTCATTCTATTTTTAGTGGCTTGGTGGCTGTTGTTGTAGTTGTTATAGCGACGCCACACATTTGTTGCATTCTGGGTTGTGGAAATAAATCCAGTAAGCACCCCAGTCTTTCCCTGAACACTGGAAGGTCTGCGGGAAACACTCCATAACAGGTAATTATAATTGATAGTGTCGATCCTCAGTCATGAGTTATATACACGATTTTTGTACTTATGTGATGAACGTCTCCTTGGCTAAACTATTAAAATATTCGGTATTATTACCCAACATTTTTGTCAAATTCCTATTCATCTTATTGAGGCAAAAAGATTCATATTGTAGCAGTAAGTTATGTCATATACATTTTCAGTTACGAAGAATATTCATTGTACGAAACTTTGTGACTCAGGTAAAATTCACTTAGAATTAAAAAGTAAACAATTTGAGGAAATAACCTTGGCCGTGATTATAGGGTACGAGGGCCTGGGGTCACGGAAGAGCTCGGGTTCAACTAACATGAAAAAAGTAGACTTGTAAAACATGTATGTCATATCATTTGGTTTTGTACCCCTGTGTCCTTACCTCCAAAGGTTAATCACTGTAGAACATTGTATATTGTGATATGTGTTAAATATCTATTCAGGCATTCTTCATATATTATGTACCCGAACATTAAATAGCATTTTACGATACGAGTGTGACCTCAAATATTAATCAGACGTAACTAACCCAGTGTCAGATGGAACTGTGAGTGCATGAGAGGGAGCAATAAGGTGAAGGACCCTTGGACACACACACACACACATGGACGCGGGGCAACATCCTACAGTGTTTTTCTTTAAATAAAAAAATCCACAAACACTGTAACTACCAAAAAATAAAAATAAAATACATGATATTTGGTGTACCTATCGCATGGACACTACGAAGGAAAAGTGAAGTGACTCAGGGTTATAGGTATTGAAAAAAGGCCCCCGTTCTGATGTAGAGTTCAGTAACTAATAGAAAACGCCTTGTATATCATTCTAATATAGAAAGTCCCTTGATAGAGCGAACTGCCTTTGGATTCGTAGTTTCAGATGATTGTGTGGTAAAAATATTCACCTTAAACTGTGATAGAGTCTCGGGGCAATTTTGATGTCATTTTGTATTTTTTTATATCGGTAGAACTTTCATGGCGGTAATATCACAAACTCTTACCTGTGAGAATCTTTGTGACGGGATCTGACGGAAACAACTTTTCCTCGTTTTCTAATCTACCCCTTCCCTCCCTTACGCTTACCCTCCCCTCTCACCTCTCCCCTTCCCTTCCTCACCCCTTCCCTCCCTCTTAACGCCTCTGCCCCCTCCCACCCCCACCACCACGCCCCCATAATGACAGAGGGTATAATTGGATGTCCTCCTTGGAGATGGCGCGGCTAATTACCTGTTTGTTATGATGATGAGGATGATGAGGTTTGCCCCGCTCAGGTATGCACCATATGTCACCCAAACTTAATTGTAAGACTACATAGGTTGCGCTGATAGGGGTCGTGGTGGTGGTGATAGTGGTGATGACTGGTAGCAGTGGTGGTATAGGGGTAATGGTGGTGGTGGTGAGGGGTAGTAGTGGGCATAAATAGATTAAAAGTGGATTTCAAATTTTAATCCTAACAGCATTTCAAGAGTTTTACGATCTAGTTAAACCTGTTCTTACATTTTCACTTACGAGGGACACCCATCTTACGCACCTCTGAGTTTCTGGACCTAAAATTTTCAGCAAAGATTCACTTTTTTTTTTCATGGAATTCAACATAATCTCGAAAGATGACGTCTCCATTCACACTTAATTTGACTTATATAATCGGATCTAAAGTGGATGAGGGGAGTCTTTTTTTATTGTTTGTAATGGACGGGAGTGGTGGAGGGCAGTACAGTATTGGACAGAGTGGATAAGGGTGTGGGACAGAGGTGTGGGTGCCCGCATGATAGTGTGTCTGGCTATGAGCCATTCATCACTACCTTCATCGTCGACCCACCAGTACCCCCTCCCTCCACCCCCTAACACCTCCTCTCCCTCACCCTCTACCTAAACCTAACTCCTGAGAACATGTTACACACCAAACATGTCACCTGAATAAACAGATTATGTTAGGTGTAAATCACACCATAAACACAGCCAACAGCTCCCACGTACCCGGCACCCACCCTCCCGATACTTCAGATATTCTTCACTTATTCACACGAACCAGGCGCCAGAATTATCGCTGCCGCCACCACACACAATAGAAAAGAGGGTCTTTCATGTGACTGGTTTAGTGGCGAGGAGTGCTTGATTTAATGATTCGTGATTAATCTTTTTTTTCCACTCGCGCAGATAGTGCAAGGCGAAGCTTGAGCTCTAGAAGAAGGAGGGGGGGGGGCGTCGTGCCAAGCCAAGCCAAGCCTAGCTACTGTCACCGCCACACCAGAAGCGCCGCCAGTGCCTTGTGTGGTGTGCGTGTGGGAGGTAGCTGGGCTGGTCATGCTCCCCAGCGGTACCTGACTCTGGCTAGACCAAGTAGTCACACTGAACCTGACTCTCACTGACGAAGGAGTGGGATAACAGAAGGAGGATCCTCACACAAACTCGTCCTTATCAGGGTGATCAGAGTGGGACGCCTCGCCTAGATCGTCTTAGAGCGACGTTTATTTACCCCAAGTTTATACAGGTAAGCTCTCTGGTTGTGGCCCCGATGAAAATATTAATGTATCAACTTTTATGAACTTTGTAGTGTTTATAAATGAATTTTTGTTGTACGATCTAAGTAACTGGTATTTTTTATTATTATTTTTTCGTTAATTAAGGTATGGTAATTATTTTAAATAGGTCGTCTGTTAAATTACGTACGGTAGGTGGTTAAGTATGGGTACACACACACACACACACACACACACACACACACACACACACACACACATCTCGTAACTTGTTGAACATTGGTCAAGTTAAATTCTTAAGTGCAGCAGTAAGGTCAAAGTTACCGGTGAAGGGCATTTTCAGTCTCTCTCTCTCTCTCTCTCTCTCTCTCTCTGATTTCCTGCTCACTGACCTCTCTCTCTCTCTAAACGCTAACCTAACCTCCCCAGGTAGCGTTAGGATGGATAATCTTCAGGTGATTCAAGGTGATTCAGGTGATTCAAGATGATTCAGGTGATTCAAGATGATGAAACAATCCTCCCAAGGCCGCCTCACACACTGGCCAGACGCCATCAACTCTTTCGTCAGGTTTCAGGAGTTTTGTTGAGCATAATGTGTACAGGAGACGTTGAATGTGTGTGTGTGTGTGTGTGTGTGTGTGTGTGTGTGTGTGTGTGTGTGTGTGTGTGTGTGTGTTAAACAGTACACACAACCATCGCTGACAGGAGGATGGATCATTCAGAAACCCCAGTGTGTCATGTAACTACTGTACACACACACACACACACACACACACATACCATATTGACTACCTACACACACACACACACATATACCATATTTACTACATACATACATACATACCACACACTGATGTTCACATACCACTCGATGATGGATGAATATTTCACCAGTGTGACGCATACTAGGCACCACTACACCTGTACACACACACACACACACAAATACACATACACACACACAAAGGGGGTAGCTGGATCTCGTGTTGGGTTGAGAGTGCACGTGTTCCCGGGTAGTATGTCATTTAAGCTATTTTCTCATCGATTCAAAGTACAATTTCCCTGTGAGTCATCTATAGAGAGAGCGAGAAAGAGAGAGAGAGAAAGAGAAAGAGAGAGAGAGAGAGAGAGAGAGAGAGAGAGAGAGAGAGAGAGAGAGACTTATATAATCTCTCAAAACAATAACTCATCTATGTAAACAACTCATATACCACACAAGGTATCCAGGGACTGTACAGCTATAGGTGTGGGTGTACGAAATTCCATATGTGCGTGACTGTCTGGGAGGGAGGGAGAGAGAGACCGGAGAGTGTGTGGACAAATGGAGGGAGGTAGGAGGGTAGAATGAGAGAGAGGGGAAGGTTGGAGGAGAGAGGAAGGGAGGGAAAGATTGGAGGAGGGAGGGTAGGAGGGAAGAAGGGAGGGAAAGATTGGAGGAGGGAAGAAGGGAGGGAAAGGGGGGAGGAGGGAGGATAGAATGATAGAGGAAGGGAAGTAGGGAGGGAGGGAAGGAACAAGGGAAGGAGGAAGGGGAGATAAAATAAAAGGAAGGGAGGGTAGTATAGATATTTGTAAATAATCTTGTGGGAGAGAGGGAGGGAAGGTGTGTGTGTGTGTGTGTGTGTGTATGTCTTGGTAGTGTGGGTGTGGCCTGAGAGAGCCAGAGGGAGGGGAAGACTCATGTCAGTCTCTGTATTGGAGTGCTCGGGGCCACACACTCTCCCTCCCTCTCCCTCACTCCCTCTCCCTCACTCACTCTCCCTCACTCACTCAGGATATTTTTTACTCTCACAACAAATACTTTACGCAAGGACAGTCACTCACCGCCCCCCAGTCAAGGACACCGACCGTTCGTGCTTGGGGCATTTCACGGACGTCCACCTCCCGCGTAAACTAAGGTAATGTCCGTAGTTATAGAGGAAGGAATTGTGTTAACCTAAGATTTCCTTCCCTGGAGAGATTACTGGTGTGTGTGTGTGTGTGTGAAAGTAATTAAAGCCGAGTTACGGTAATTGGTCCGTTCGGTCTTAACAAACTACGGGCGTTTAAACTTCCCAAGAGAAAGTAACTTGGTTTCGTTCAGAGTCTTAAAGCAATATGGTGGTGGTTGGGGGGGGGGGTTCATTTAAGGCGCCACAGAGGGTAATTTGGTCAATCTGAATCCAAGTGAACAGTTAGCAATACTATTGTAAGTTAACGAGCTATTTAGGTCATTTAGATTTCAAGAGAAAGTTATTGATGCTATTCCGATTTAACGAGAAAGTTTTTTATGCCATTCCGATTTAACGAGAAAGTTATTTATGCTATTCCGATTTAACGAGAAAGTTTTTTATGTCATTTAAAATTAAGGATAAAACTACAGAGGACATTTTAAACCTCATCGCCAACCTCTCCTTCAGATCAAACCGGAGTCAGTAGCCAGTTACAAGCGTCCACTACGACTACACCGTCAGGAGGCGTCAAGTGGTGAGCTAACACGGCCCACCTGGTGTGATGATATTACGGTGTGATCGAGGGTGTTAAAGCTTCCTGTTAGTGCCAAGTTACCAGCTTTTGGCCCTATGTGGCACTGACCTCTGGAAGTTGGCTGGCTCTGTTGGTGATATAGGTTAGATTAGATTGGGTTAGGTTAAGTTAGGTTAGGGTACTTTAGGTTAGGTTAGTTTAGATTAGGTTAATTTAGGTTAGCTTAAGTTAGATTAGATTGGGTTAAGTTAGGTTAGGTTAGGTTACTTTAGGTTAGTTTAGATTAGGTTAATTTAGGTTAGCTTAGGTTAGATTAGGTTAATTTAGGTTAGGTATTCCCGTAGTAAAGTTATATTCTGCCTTTATGTGAGCGATGAACTGAGATGACAATTATAAAAAAATAATTCAATAACACAAACACACATAAAAGCGACCATAACAAAGAAATAATTGTGTTCATCAGTGACCTTTATCTTGGCACTTGACCTTGGCACTGTGATGGCTGATATTAATAGCATAAATAAACATTCTGGTCCTTATGATTTCCTTTACAGTACAGAAACAAACAAACGGACGGATGAACATTTTAGGGTCAAAAGACTTTTTCCTATTGGCATCGGAATTTGGTACCCCACCCTCTACCTTTCTCTACTGTTCGGGCGCTAAGGGAGATAATTAATTCGTAATATATCCTAGCCTAATTTTATTGATTCTTCCTATAGAGAGAACAGCTACTTGGTTAAGGAGTCATATCAGAGTTTCACAGTTGACACAAGATCTTATTTTGGGTTTTTGTGTTGCATCAAGAAGACGTTTATAATACATGGAACTATAGAGGAATGCCATGCCAACTTATATTAAAATTCTCCAAGCGTTCCGGAAATTTTTTACATTTAAGCGCAGGGGTTCGTAGATGGTATAACGCTATATTTGTATCCCCGTAGAGTTGCTATAAAAGTCTTTTATTAACGCACATATACACGTATGTTACAAAAAGAAAAATACCATCCTGCCAACTCTAGCCCCCTCCTCTGACACGGCCCCTTTCCCTTCCCCCAATCAGATCACTTCCATGAGGGAAACAGTAAACAAAACTCCCCGCCTTTCATGGTCTTCCGCCTGTGGATAGATTGCCTGCTGTTCTTGCTCGCCCCAACACGCTACGCTCTGTCTAATTAGAGGAATTTTTGCCTCTCATGCGATAAATCTTGTATGATCTTTTCCGTATGAGAGTAAACTGCTCATTAGCGTGGTATTCCACCAAGCTACAACCTTCTCAGGTCATTTATTCTGGTGAACTAGACCGTAAGTGAGAGCTAAAAATGACTCTTAGTAAACTGTCTGTTAACAAAGTCATGCAATAAAGAAAAAAAGTTAATGCAGGCAGTAAGTCACGCCTGGTGTTTCCACTCGACAGAAAACGCCTACACGTTCTCCCGCTATCTGCCAGCACTAACCTTGTGCTTATTGACAAAGCTACATCTCTCTAAGTATAGCTTCTTGGACAGAGAGAATGGTGATAAATTTGTCAGGATGCCAGCACGATACTGAGTTTCTTTGTATATTTTTGTTTACATTAAGCAAGGTTCAGAAAATATACCTACGTCGCTGAATGATGAGTCACCAGATTTAAATACAGGTTTATCATAGAGTTAAGTAACATTGGTCTAGTTAGCTTGAAATAATCGTAACCGAAGAAAAAACCCGCAAATTGTCTGTTGTTTTTACTTAAATTAAAACCTTTACAGTTCACGAGATGATATAAAACAATAATTACCATGTGAATACAATTACATGTAATTCCACTGAAGGCTCGTCATGTTTACTGTTAAATAATGATGACTGTTTCAACCATCAGTAGTTCTGGGGATAAAAAGTTTAAAGCATTTTTAATTTGGTTCATTTAAGCCAACTTATGTTTATCCTTCCATTAACCAGTCAATTATGTCCTTATGTATGTACAGCGTATATTCGTATGTATGTTTGTATGTATATATGTATAATAAGTGGTATGTATTCATGTATAGTACAGTCCACTACTAAAGTCCGTTCGCCTCTCCCTCTGAACCACGAACCCCGAGATTCATTCAGACTCGTGAACCCGAAGCAATCGACTCCCCCAGGTGAACGCTTGAATTTCTCACTTAAAGTTAATATCGAAGCGGTTATGATTAATTTGAAACAGCTTACCTCTAAAAGATAAGGTCGGCAATAAAACACTGCGCATCTAAACTTTACCAATTCGAGAAATACTGTACTGAAAGTTTTACTGCAAGATTACGTGCAGAGAATTAACGCTGGAAAGCCCGCATATAATTTACGAATATACAAAGAAAAACTGCGCAAGAGTTGCAGGTCACGAATGATACGCCACACAAGGAAACAGACACAACAAGAGCAGGTATATAGTCACATGAAAACAGGTCTCATTGGTAGTGTAGATACACCACACTGAATACTATACTTTCAGTACACATTTAGAACGCTTGGCTGGCACTACACTCGATCGCTTTCACTTCCTCATCTGTGAAATTAGGTTCCCATT